CAGAGTAACTTCTCTTTGAATATCAATGTTCAGAGTCTTGTATTGTGTTGTAGTGTGGTAGTCTTCTTCTTCATAACTTCTGTTCCTTAAATAGAAAGGAAGAAAAAAGACATTGAAAAATTTCACCAAAATGTTGGGCTAGCTTTGTACTTGATTAGACACATCATAAAATCACCTTTTTTTGCAAGAGTTATCCGTTGAAGCTCAAACAATAAAGAAGTGAGTTTTCCTTAAGTCTTCACTTGATTAAAAAGTCTTTGAGTCTGTTAGAGTTTCTTCGATAGAAGAGAAGATGCTTCAGAGGTTGACTTAAATCTTTAGAGGATGATCACTTTAGAGTTTGCTTCTTGACTTCTGAAGCTTCAGAGTCTACATCACCAAAGGCTGACTTTCTTCAGAGTTTGGATCACCATCAGACTCAGAGTCTTCAGGAGTAATCTTCATTGCTAGAGTCTGAACTTCAGATCAGGATCCTCAAGCTTTTCTTTATCTGTTCTTAGTCTTATAAACCTGCATACTTAAATAGATGTTAAAATGATTAATTGCTCTTTAAATACTTTGTTCTCATCAAAATCCAAGGGATATAATATCAACCATTTTTGTTTCAACATTGCCATGTAGTTATGATGATAAATTTTTTTTGTCGGAGATCCAAATCTTGATCAATAAGTCTTTCCCTTCGGTGTAAGTTCAACCGAGAGGAAAAATGATACACTTTTCATGATGTCCTTTATTACTTGCATAAGAAATTGAGGTTAACACTTATTTCTAACCAAAATAAAGTGTTTTCGTGGTAGTGAGTATATTTCAGGACCGTACCCAACAATTTGGAGGCCATGTTTCAATTTTAAAAATTGACACAAATAAAAAGGAAGGTAGATAAATAATATCATATGTTTGTATTTTTTTTTGGAAAATAATACATTTAAATAATAAAAGTGTATGTACCACATATCGAACTAATGAACTTTTACTCAAAAACAATTTTTTTTTACTACTACACTAACTAGCTTACATTGTATATTAAGTTGAACAACTAATATTTATATATTTATATTAGATTTATAATTTATAAAAAATAATTTGGAGATCCTGCGCTGTAGATCTAATTGCTTTAGCCCAAGGCTGACCCTAACTATATCCAATTACTTGTTACTTGTTAGTTAATAGATAGAGTTACTGATTTATTTATTGATACCTTATATATTCGTTAATAATTAATAAATTATTAAAATTGAAATTATTATTATTTTTTATTCAATTTAAAACTGTGGTAAACAAAGTAGGGATGCAATGGGTAGAGTTTGGGCAGGGTAATATATTACCCGTCCCCATACCCGCAATTTAAAAAAATCCTCGTACCCTATTCCATACCCGCAATTTAAAAAAATCCTCGTACCCTATCCCATACCCGTGTAGGCACCAACATTTATACCCGTGTCCGTACTCTATGCGTAGCTAAATACTCATATTCGTCCCCGTTTACCCGCATTTCTAATAAAACATTATCCATCAATTATAATTTATCATGTCATTTTTAAATTTTGACAATCTTAAAAGAAATCAAGGATATTATTGTTGAGTTAAAAAATAAACAAACACTTACATTAAAATGTGTACACGTTTAATATAAATATATTCAATAAAATTGATAGACATATACATGTTTATAATAATAAATATAAAAATATATACAGTACGAATATGGGGCGGGTTGAGTACTAATTAGTACTCAACCCGCCCCATACCCGTATTGTATATATTTTTATATTTATTATTATAAACATGTATATGTCTATCAATTTTATTATTAAACGTGTACACATTTTAAAAAGTCCAACCACAACCACAACCTATTCCACATCCAATTCGACCTCAACTCACTCGACCACCATCTAGATCTATATCCCAATCGCATTATTCTCAACCTCAACACAATCAACCTCAACCTCAAAATCAACCTCGTCCTCAATCCACCTAATCTCACCCTTTACAAACTCAACCCCAACACAATCAACCTCAACCTCAACCTAGTCAACCTCGTCCTCAATCTCACCCTTTACAAACTCAACCCCAACACAATCAAACTCAACCTCAACCTAATCAACCTCGTCCTCAATCCACTCAATCTCACCCTTTACAAACTCAACCCCAACACAATCAACCTCAACCTCAACCTAATCAACCTCGTCCTCAATCCACCCAATCTCACCCTTTACAAACTCAACCCCAACATAATCAACCTCAACCTCAAAATCAACCTCAATCTCAAAATCAACCTCAATCTCGACCCATTCCTTCTCAAACCAATCAACCTCAATCACAACATCGATCTCGACCCATCCCTTCTCAATTTATGGTCGTTGAAGCCCCATCTTCATCTAGCCATGCTAGTGGAGACACCGTTGAAACTAGAATCCCAATAGTTCCCGAAGGTGATGGGTGAGTCTCTTACTGATATATAATAGCTAATAAAAGATACTATATTTTATATGTAACATTACTTTCTCCATTTAAGTAATATTTGTTTTTTTTAAATGTCTCTTTTTCATATTTGATCATCATAAATTGGTAGTTTCAGAAATTGCTCACATCATACATACTCATTTGAACGAGGGAAAACTGTCATGGAAGAAATTATCAAAAGAGTAACGAGATTCTTTCTTTGATTTATTTAAGGTAATTAAATCTAAAGATGGGGCTTCATGTTAGAAGCATATTGAAATATTAAGTAATTGATTCATGTTTTTTTGATACAGCAAAAGTTTACATGGCCACCCGAGCACAAGGTTACAGTGCGTCGCAACTTTGAAAAAAGAAGTGCAGCTAAGATGTCTCAATTAATGCAAGATGTTCGGAGAGATTTAGAGTATAAGCCGGAATGGATGGGAGAGGAGGTGTGGAAGAAACTAACGGTACATTGGAATTCCTCCAAGTTCAAAAAAGTATCTGCAACAAATAAAAGAAATCGTTGTTCTATGGATGGTGCATCTCTTCACACTGGAGGATCTATTCCTCATCGTTTGCATTGGAAAAGAATGGTATTATAATTTTTCTTTATATTTCATATATTAGTATTTATAATAAATGACATTATTATTTTGTAATTGATAGAAAAAGGAAAAGGGTGCCGATCCATCATTGACTGAATTTTATTTTCACACTCATCGAAAAAAGGATCAAAGTTGGGTGGGTGTTCACGCTGAATCTGCATATGTAAGTACTCCAAATCAATTTCTTAAAGAATGAATCTTAGAAAGTGTAAACCATACCTTCATTCTTTTTCTCTGTGTTTTGCAATTTACAATCAAATCAAATAAAAATATGTTGGGAAATTGGTTAGAGTTAATGTTAGCAACGAGCAATTATGAGTTTCTCCAGTTAATGTTATGTGAATGAATTGCTAGTTCATTTAGTTGAATTTTTATTATGACGATTAGCACTAGTTTGGAATTGCCTGGTAAAATATTAATTACTTATTATGTTTTTTTAAATCTTCTTTCAGGATGAATTTGAAAGGAAAAAGTTGATGATCTCTTTTCAAAATTCAACTGTTCCAGGAGAGGATGAAGCTGATAGTCAACCTACTGTTGAAATACCGTCTGATTTGGATATATGGGTGAAGCCATTTGGAAAGAAGAAAGGGAGGGTATTCGGTCTTGGAACCATTGCCAAGACTCTTGTTCCATCATCCACTCAACCAAGTCTTTCGAGTAACTCTCAAGAGGTTGATGATTTGAGAAGTCAAGTCCATGCTCTCAATGCATCATTGCAAAGACAAGAAAAGAGAAGTTGGAGATGAAGCAACAATTGTAACGACAAGAAAAAGAGATGATTGAAACGAACAATAAACTTTCATTGTTAATGAATCATTTAGGATTTGCTGCATCTTCTTCTCATCCACCTCAAGCCAATAATGAAATTGATAATCAAAGTGAAGATGATGTTGATGAATCAGATGAAGACATTAGTGAACACATTAGTAGTGAATTTTGATTTGGATTACTTTTTCTTGTTAATTAGTTTGAAATTGCATTTTTTTTCTTATTAATTTGGTTGGACAAGTGATAATTAGTAACTTGATTACGACAGTTTTAGTAATGTAACTCTAAAAGTACTTGTTATTGACTTTAAAAATTTGAAAGTAATTAGTGTTGCATTGACTTATTCAAATTAGATTTTTATTTTTATATTATTGTTACTTTGATATTTAACATTAATTATATTATTTTAGATATGAATTAACCACAACTAAAAATAAAAACTAAAAACATGAGTGAACTTACCTGCGGATTCTCAATTTGTTGCGAATTTACCTGCGAATTTAGCTGTTATACCTGCGACTTTTTCCTGCGAGTATTACCTGCGACCTTTTCCTGCGACTTTCACGGAGGTTTTAGCTGGAAATAAACATTCGCAGGAAAAATCGCAAGTAACCTGTTTCCTGCGAAAATTTGGTCATAATCCGCAGGAAAACTGAACATTTCTAGAATATAAGGTACCCATATCCGTGCCGATGCCCGCGTATTTTAGGGGTAATTGCCCATGTCCGTACCCATTTGCGGGTTTTTATCTTATCCATTGTGGGTAGTTTTTTCGGATACTCCATGGAAATGAGTCAAATTATCATCTTTAAAACGAAGGAATGGAATGAATATGATGTATGTTGCTAATCATATTTATTATTTTATTAATCAACAAAATACAAAGTAATTAACTATTTATTTTACAATTAGTATATTATATAAAATAAACTATTTTTTGTATCCATAAAAATTATTTTTTATATTTTGTTAGTAAATGAAGTAGTAAATATAATTAATAACATAATTTTGTATCATAGAAAATATTGTTTGTATTTTAAGAAAATTATAAAAAAAATTGTTATAAATTTAGAAAGTATAAGATGTTCATTTCACTCTCTCTATATAACACAACTAAATTTATCACATAAACACACACAACACAACACAAACAATCCTATCACCAACAAAATAAAGATGATTCTCACTATCTTTTTCTTCATATTCTCTCTTCTTTCCCTCTCTCACGCATCAGTACTAGATTTTTGTGTAGCAGATTATAATGCACCAAACGGTCCGGTAGGGTATTCTTGCAAGCCACCCCAAAGAGTAACCGTTGATGACTTCGTCTTCCACGGCCTAGGCACAAGTGGAAACACGGCAAACATTTTCAAATCCGCTATTACGCCAGCATTCAACGCACAATTTCCAGGCATAAACGGACTTAAAATTTCCATGGCGCGTTTAGATTTTGCTGTAGATGGAGTCATTCCACTTCACAGTCACCCTGGTGCTTCAGAATTATTGTTTGTTGTTGAAGGAACACTTGTGGCTGGTTTTGTTTCCTCTAACAACGTTGTTTATCTTAAAACACTTAACCAAGGTGATATTATGGTTTTCCCTCAAGGGTTGTTGCATTTCCAAATTAACAATGGTCGTTTTAATGCACTTGCTATTGTTAGCTTTAGTAGTGCTAATCCTGGTTTACAAATATTGGATTTCGCTTTGTTTAAGAGTGATTTTCCTACTGAGATAATTACTGCAACTACTTTTCTTGATCCTGTTGTGGTGAAGAGGCTTAAGGGTGTTTTTGGAGGTAGTGGTTAAAAGAACTGTTATCATATATCATATCTATGAAAGAGTGAGAAATGAAGGACTAGTGTGTGTTATCTTTTAATTGTTAGTTGCGTTTTTCGTTGTGTTGTTTCTGGTTGTGTCAAGTTTTTTTTTCTTTTGAATAAAGGTAACTTTATAAATATGTGACATGAGATGAATGAATGTAAGTCTCATGATAGTGTTTATGAATAAAAAAAAGTTGTAATATATTTTGTGTTTAATATTTAAAACAAAAAAAAAAAGTTTGGCGACTATTAGTTTTAATTAATAATTAAAATAAAAAATCATACTACTTCACTATTGCTATTATAAAAAGTTCTTTTTATTTTGATTAAAAGTAGGTTAAACTCGATTCTGTATACTAAATAACAAATGAAATTTTGAAATGTATGTCATTTTATCATTTCGACGAGATTACATTGAGAGAAAAATTTTAATGATCCTTAATTTGATCCAATAACTAAATAACATTATTCAGTTTAAAATAATAATCAAGAAAAAATTATTATTATTATTATTATTATTATTATTATTATTATTTTATTTATTTTTTAATATTTTAATTTTAATTTGTATTATAGAACTTTTTTTCTTAAATATTTATAAAACAGAAGTATTGTAACTTTTGCTAATTTGTTAATCAAAAACATTGTACCAAAATTATATATTTTTTATATTTGTTGTAAAGTAAAAATAATACTCACATTATAATTTTACAACATAATCAAATAAATAATTAACCATCAAAAAAATAACCAAAATACAAACTTTTATAAGCCAATCAAAAGTATCTTCGGTGATTTATAATCGGTAGATACACATGTATATTTTGAACAACATTTAAAATCAATTAGGATATATAATCCGTAAAAATAATAATATTAAATTTTTAAACCATTGACCTCAACATCAACAACAATTACAACAATCAAAATTTAATATCAACAACATTCAAACTTCAATATCTAACGACACGTATCATATAACATTTATTTTAAGAGTTTTTAATTTCTGACTTTTACTTTTAAAACCATACAATATATGGTATACTTCGACATCTCAATATTTTAAAAAGATAAATATTAATAAAAAATAAAATACATAAGATGGAAAAGATCATATAAGTCTTAAAGCTTTATTTTCATCATCAATATTGACTTCAATAGTTTCTAATTCATAAACAATATCATTTAGAATAAGTAATGTGAGATTTCGAAAATCTTAAATCCTATATAAAATTAAACTATCTCTTCTTCGACAAGCGATTTGAGGTTTTTTCGATATATATATATATATATATATATATATATATATATATATATATATATATATATATATATATATATATATATATATATATATATATATATATATATATATATATATATATATATATATATATATATATATATATATATATATTCTCAATCAAGTTAATAAAACGGACCTGTATTAAAAAACAAAATGATGAAAATCATCAATTGTCATATCACCATAATCCAATATATGAATGCACGATAAATTATGGCTGGAATGATGACGCGCAGCTGTCTCATAAAGATCCATAGAAACGTGAAATATCATAACCAATTATGAATAAAACAATAAGGAAAAAGAAATATACATTTGTTGGATCAAACAAGGTACGTTGAAAGAGATTTTCAAAACCATAATCATATTTTATTTTTTAGAAATTTAGTCACCCTTATAAATATCTTAAAATAAAATAAAATAAATCTAAGACTTGAAATTATTTATTCGCTTTTTGCATTCTGTCTTTTTAAGACTCTTTTATCAATCATTAAAGCAAAAATATTTTTTCAAAAGACATACGTTTCTTTTGGTTAGGATTTATGTATTATTATCCTACCTTCTATCTAGCTACTCCAATAAGTTGGGAATTGTACCTATATTAAGATGGTAAATTTATTTAAAATAGATATGGTAAAAATTTATAAAATGGATACGAATATGAATATAGACAATTATCTATTAAAATAAACGAGTATGAATGTAGATATAGATACATGTAGGAATATTTTAGTATTCAGTCCACCTCATATTCGCACGATATATATATTTTTATATTTTTATTTTCATTATTATTTACATATATTAATCTAATAATTTTATTAAATACATTATTATTAAATTTCTATGGATTTTAATATAAATGTTTGTTTATTTTTTAACTCAACAATAACATTTTCAATTTTTTTAAATGTTATTAAAAAATTAAAATGACATGATATATTATAATCGATCGATATTTATTTTTACTAGAAATGCAGGTAAACGGATATGGTATGGGTACTTAGGTACCTATAGGGTATGTGTACGGGTACAAACATTACTGCGCACACGATTATGGACTCACGTATGAAAATTATTTTAAATCGGAAGTTTAAGAACAGTACTATAGTACCTTACCCAAACTCTGGCCATTGTCATTCCTACTCACGACACCGGTGGCTAAATATTATGTATAGCATTTCGTAAAGAATCTAATTTTTTTTATTCATCCATCTTGACAGACATTCATATTTTAAATATATATATATATATATATATATATATATATATATATATATATATATATATATATATAAACTAACTAAAACTATGTACAACTGATATACAAAAACAAGCAGTCTAGCTCCTTATTTAAAGTTTTTCAAAATATCTCATCATTCGTCGAGCGAGCTATAAGTCACCCAACAAATCTTGCTTTTAGGTTGCTTTGTTCCAAAGTTTTTTCACCACCTTTGTGAGTCTCCTTAAATTCATTATGCAATTTGAAGATTCACCAAATTTACCTTGCTTTTAACCCTTTCATTCTTCCTTTGATTCGTTGGTCCGACTCTTATTCACCCAACAAATTTTAATTATTTTCTAGTCATGCCTTCTAACTTAGTTTCACTGATCGAGCACAATTCTTCTAATGAACTTGGTCGACTTTGGCTTCTAGATCTTGAGTTAGTTACTCTGTCTGACTTGACATTTGATCATTTTTACCTTGAATTTTCATCTTGTAATCTAAAATGATAAAAAAAGATATAAAACACACGTGATCAATGCATATTTATTAGAACAATTATTAATTAAGCATAAATCAAGGATTTTTTAGTATTAATTAATATCTAAGTAAGTTAATAAATGTATAAAAATGATAGTGACAAATAGATAAATTATATGCTTATCAACTCTCTTCTACTTAACATTTTGTTTACCCTTAAAGAAATGTAAGAAAATATTAAAACATTGTTACATCAGCAAATGCATACAAATCTCAAGGTTTTTTTTCACATTATGTTTTTATTACCTAAATTTCTATTTTTGCATAATTTTACTATTAATGCATCTTTTTCTTTGTAGCTTTTAATAAAGAATCTGAAGATTTATGAAAAAGACCAAACTATGGGGAAATCATCCTAACCAAATAAATTTTATAAGTATTTTACTGTGAAAGTTACGATGAATAAGTAAATAGAGGGATAAAATACGAAAAACAAATGAAAATCAGAGAAAACTACAGAAGGCATTGCAAAATGCGACGCGACTATTTTCATAATGGTGCAAGTCCACACCAAAGGACCTAACCAGCATGAACACAAGACAATGATGTGATCCAAACTTCTTCCTTAAGTGCAAAACCAATTCCAAGATCAAATCACTATAAGCCCAAATCACACCAGTGCGACGTCAACTCTCTGCCAAGACATTAAAACATTTAAATGTTATATCACAGACGAATTGGGAATCATGCGACAAGAAATCTAGAATTAAATTTTTTTCTTATAAATAGAAAAACAAGTTTAGTCATTAGTGGTTCAATCATAAAGACTCTAAGGTGTTTTTATGACCTAGGGAAGGATTAAATGATGGCTATCATTATGAGCTTGTTCTTGAAGGTAACAGAAACACAAGAAAAAGAGGTTTGAACTGAGTTTCTAGACTAAAAAACTTTTGCTACCTAAGACAACAAGGAGAAAACTAAGAACAATAATAATAAACACAACTATTTTTATCTTGGTTTGCTGTTAACAAAGCTACCTCTGGTCCACCTGCCAAGGTAATTTTTCCTTATCACAAGGACTTAATCCACTATAACCAAACTTAATTACAACTATAAAGACTAACATTTAATATCTTCCTGAGTAATTCTAATTAACTATACCCTAGTCACTCAAGAAAATACAACTCAAAGATTGAGATACAAAATGTGTTACAAGATACTTCTAAAAAGTAGATTACACAAATAAAATGCAAAGAATTACACACAAATATTTTCTATGTATGAACAAAATTTCCTATCTGTTTGTTTTTCTTTCTCTCAAAACATTCATTATTTGTAATATTTATATGATAGCTCTTTGTGCCAAAATGTTGTGTTCTTTCCATTCTTCCAAGACTCCTTTATATAGGGAATAAAAAGATATGTTTAAGGGTATAAATGGAATCCACAAATGTGGTTGTATCCTTACATAATGGTTTGTGAAAATGGGAGACACAATACTATAATAGTATAGTCCTTTTCCCACAAAATTAATGTAGTGGAAGGAATATTTAATCTTGTAATATGTATTATTTTCTCAAGTAAATCTTTTTGACCTTATCTTCAATTTTTCAGAAGCTTTAGATAGAGTTTATGAGACATTCATAGAAGAAGAATCAGAGTTTATATGAGAGAGTCTTCAGAAACTTGGTCTTCAAAGTCTTGATCCACTTCTTCAGAACCTGGTCTTTAGAGTCTGATGACACTGTTCATCAAAAGTTCTTAAGCGCAAGACTTCAAAGCTTTGCAGTTGTCATACCCTAAATTTGCCTGCCAGCTTTTATGAATATTTTCGCATTTTCTATTTTGCATTTTTCACTTAATTTCATGCCGTTTAGACACGTGTCCGCCCCCGATTGGGCGTTTTTCAAATCTCGACTTCTTTTGCCCAATAAGAACGTGACACGTGGCCTAAAGGTATTTTCGTAAATTTCAA